TGGAAATTACAAAATCTAATAAGGATAGGTACAGAGACATTTTTGTACAATGGCCAATGGGTTTTAACAGTGTATGCACTCTGAAATACATATGAGTCCTATATGACGTGTTGACAAAAAAATCTCTTAAAATTCTCTCTTAAATTACCCTGTTATCCTCAGAACCGAGCAATTTAAGTGCATAATTCATAAAGTCGCAGACACTGTAGATCAATATTATTGTAGACTATATTCTATGGTTGTACTGAAATTATATATTTTTACTATAATTTTGGTTTATTTTCATTACACTATCTCATACGTTAAATCGTTGTATTTATGTATATAATTTTAATATATTATTATATGAGATAATAATAGTTACTAATTGAATTATTTTATCACGAAAATAATATGTAGGTATACCTACTCGAAAAATACAATATATCGATTTGTGTATCTCTACAACATTTAGCTATGGAAATGTAGAACGATTAGCGTTGTAACATTCATACATTGGACCCTAGATGTTTGGTTAAGCTAATCTATTGTACCTATTTAAAAACGAGCCATATCATACTGAAAACATTATATTGTAAAAACGTAATATTAATGATCAACGACGATAAAACATCTATAAACTCCATATTTTTATTCACATAGAATAAATAAATAAATTCCTATAACAGAGTATAGTATAATACTATAATATCGTAGAATTTACGTAAGTCATTGCAGGCTTATTTTTGTATTATCTAAATAGATTTGCAAGACAAAAAACCGATAATTTATTGCTGAGTAATATCAAACACTCCTTGACATTTTCTAACTGAGAGGGAATTTAATCGATTTGTATAGTTAAAATAAATATCAACGACGTTTTAATAGTGACTAAATTGGATGTGAAAAATGCCAAAGAAATTATCCTCTCGTTAAATCACCATTAAAATACTTCTCCCCGTCGCGTCGCAGCGATCAAAAAAACCGCAAGCATTACAATGTAATCGGTGTTTGTTATAAACGATTATCTTGTACGTTCTGTAGATACATTTGTCAAAACCTTAATATGTGATCACAATGTTTTTAGTGTTTACATTTTATTTATTGATTACCTACGCGAGCACCTACCCAAACAATAATAATATTATTATTAATAGTATAAAGGAAACGGTTTCATCGTTAGTGTCGTATACATATCAGTTGTAGTCCGGTTTCCTCTGGGACGATTTCGGGGTCAAAAGTCGAAACCAATCGATGGGTAAAATACGAGTGACGACTCCATTCATCGCGAATGAGACTTATTATACATACTATTATGTACAATACACGTGCCTCTAATATTGTTATATTATATACCTAACCAACTGCAGCAGTTCGATTACTTGCGAAAAAAAAACATAGCTATACCTACCTACTCTGAGTCTCTGAAATCTGAATAGTATGATAATATTATGTATATTGAAATACTTTGGAATAACGGCAGTAATACTGCCATAATTTAATTTTAATACTACTCGACAATATTTATTTATTTATTTGTTTATTTCTCCCCGTCAGGTGACACTAACGGGAAGCTTCTTTTTCAAAATTTGAATTTTTTCTTATCCGTTGTCACATATAATTATTGTGTTAAGAAGTACACAATGTGTATTTCTTAATATAAAATGAAAAAAAAAATTATTTATTTACAATGTTATATTATAAAATAAAGTCCTAAACATTTTAACGATTTCAATTTACTCCATATCAATATATAAATTATAGATCCATATATTATATAACAAATTTAAAAGATACATTCGACTCGAAGTATACCTATATTATAATATTATTAATTATTATTATTATTATAAAGGAAACGGTTTCGTCGTTAGCGCCGTATTTGTATATCGCAGTTGTCTCGTTTGCTCCTCGTCGATTTCGGGGTCAAAACGAATGAATGGGTAAAGACGACTCTATTCATCGCGAATAAAATGCGTGTGAACGAGACCTTTAAGAGATATAACACAGAGATATATACACAGAGATATATACATATATACAATACACGTGCCTCTAATATTGTTATATTAGGTATATAGCTAACCAACTGCAGCAGTTTGATTGGCAATACTTTCAGAATTAAAGTACATATTATAATATCCGAATACTTGTGAAAAACAGAACTTGCAGCTCTGAATATACCTATAATATTGAAATATTTTGGGAGACAGTTTTACTGCCATAATTTATTTTGAACACTACACAACAATATAATAATATAAAATCCCGAAAATGTTAATGTTTTCAATTTACCCCATATTTTGAATCATAGAATGACATAGATATAACAAATTAAAGGAATGAATTTGGCCCATATACCTACTTATATTATAATATAGTAAATGAAAGTGAAGCTCTATTATCGGAGCGGCGGCCAATAACTATACGGACATACGGTTGTACATAATAAATTCGTATAATTCAATCACCAAATAAAACGTTGCTGGTGTCCTTTATCCAATCCTTTACTGTCTACGATTCATCGGTACAATATTATTTGGTTGCATATACAAGCATCAGTATCTAAATATAGTAATTTCTATCAACCTGGAAATGACAATGTTTATTAATGATCTTTTATTGGAACATTTATCCGTAGAACATATTATGTTAAAAATGTGTTATATGAGTATTAAAATACTCAGTTAACGTTATATATTTATTTAGCTATATAATATTATTATATTTTAGTGTGTTGATCGATGGTGGGGTGGAGGGGTAAATAATATATTATAATATTATACAATTTATTTATCAAAGCTTTATAGAAAAAAAATTATACATAACACTCTCGAAAACAGTGTACAGAAATTTTTATATCTATCCGACCATCCAAGAAGGTAGGTATTAATACTAATGCGAGCACCGAGCTGCATTATAATATTATCATTCAATACGAACAGCGTCTTTGTACAGGTATATTATTATTATTATAAAAATTTATACCGTTTGTGCAGAATATAATAATATGTAATATAGTATTGTTGGTAGCAGCGGTAACAATACAATATTGCGTAGTCGTAAAACACGTACATGATATAATATTATATGGTATGTATATCTAGCAAAAGGTGTCTACTCCATATTTTAATGGTCCGCGTTGGCTCGGTTCGGTGGAAACCGTAAAAATACTAAAAGTTCATCGTCTTCATCGTCGTTTTGAAAACACAACAACAAGAGAGGGCACGGGTTCACGGGCCAGTGATAAGACACTGTTTTCCACTCGAATTCGAAAAAATTACAATATTGTACAGATAAGAGCTGATATGGAAGAAGGATTAAAACGGTGAAGCAAGATCTGTTAATAATGAGACTCCGTAATGACGTTAGACATTTAGAGTTGATATGCATATTTTATTTATCGTACGTTGCCATTCCTCGTAACTAATCATTATTTATTGTTACAAGTAAAATGTAAATTCATATAACTCGGCCTCTTCGTATACATATTACTATGAACGTTTTCAAACGGTTTTTTTCACGGTTTTAATAATAATAATAATTGTATTCATTGCGCATAAATTATATTGTCAAAGAAACATTTTCCAGCAACATAGATAGTACACATGGGTAGTAGTAGTAGACACCCTGCACGTAGGTACTCAACAGTTATTTATCAATCCCATAATTTAAATTATTTTCCTATTGTACCGGTTTTTTTTCCTTTTTGAACACAATACAACATTTAAATTGTTACATTAGAGTTCTGCTCTGATCTCTTGATATCGTAGACGGACAATATACAATAATATTATACAATACATCATACTGTTTACAATAACATCTTTATAGGTACCTACTAGTTACTACCTAGTACCTACCAAGTTTGTGTACAGTATTCATAATATTAGGCTTCAGGAACTCCTACTAATGTAACCAATGTTTACTTATTTATAATTATGTTTGCATATTATTCTATAGTAAAACTAAAACATCACAAAACTTTCCGCTAAGTAGGTCATTAAAAAAATACCCAGGTAAATCAATATTATGATATTTACGTTATAATATTTTACGTTAAGTCTTAAATCATATTACGATTAGATGAAATATGTTATTGATTATATTATGTACGATGTACCCATACTTACAGTACCTACATATGATCATATTATTACGTACAATTGGATACAAATATAAGTAGGTATGCCTAAGTACCCACAATACAATAATTAGTTATAGTAGGTACATAATATTATTTCAGCACCTACAAACCTTATAACCGTAACACCTTCCTATAACGAACTTTTTAATCAGCTATGTGTAGGTGATTACATTTATAAGTCAATAATAATTATAAATATTTTACATTTTTCTATCACCATATTATATTATAAGCTGACTACAATATCGTTGAATTATAGTATCTGAAAATGATCAATTCGAGATTTTGATTAATAGTGAATAATAATATCTGAATATACCTACAGCGAGTTTACATTCGCCGTACGATAATATAGACATAACATAATAGTATACCCACCAGTACAAACAAACGCACATAGGTAGGTACCGGAATTGATTTAATTTTGTTTGCAAAACTTTTCACGGTGCACCTATCTATAATGCGACGCATATTCGAATTAAACAAATATTTGTCCGTTAAAATAAACGAAAAATACAAAATTTAAAATGGATTATAACAAAATATTTAAATTTATTTTATTTGTTTATAATTATTAAGTAAAATAAAAAAAACCAACAACACACGAGGGACGAAAAATAAATAATATATACTTAACACAATATTTATATTTTCAAAATATAGATGATTATTTATCGTGTGATTTCAAAAAAAAAAAAAAAGTCGGTCACTTTTTTTGATTGGGACTAACCAATCGTACCGAATACTAAACATTAAAACTATAATAATAATAAACAATAATACAATTATTAATATTTTATTATGCTTATATTACGATATAATATTATTATCATTAAGGTACTATAATTATTATTAACAGGTATTTAATACTGACCTTTAGCCGATCTTTTCTGGTGACCGATATGCATGGTGACAGGGACGGGTGTCAATTTGCTGGTACTCGAATGCGATTTTACAATGTCAAAACGATGCAGCGGCTACTGCTTCTGCAATTTTACTAATTTTCATTCGTGTCGCTGTATGGGAACCGACGGGACATTGACGCATTTCACTGCGCGTTCGGCCACGGAGAATCGAACAGAATAAAACGAAAATTTACGAAATCTTAAAGAATGAAAAAAAAATATAAAATATCAAAAAACTGTGAAAACGAAACTATAGAAACGTTCCACAATCGCACTAGGTCGGTAGCGCGGCGTTTGCAGCAGTGCGTCGAGGGCGAGATGACGTCGAACTGATCACGCGGACCTATCGAAACGGTTTCCTTCCTTTATCGTTTATTAATTATCGACGTATGATAATGTTATTATTATTATTATTATTATTATTATTCGGACGCGTTATCACGATTTAATTACCGTAGGTATATTATTTTATTTCATATTATAATATTATTGTCCGTCGACCTGGCGTACGGAATAATGATAGCGATGATATATGGGTAGGTATATATTATTATAATGCTACCTACGGATCACGGGCGGTGGGCACGGACAGTGAATCATAAGTGGCGATCGGTGGCGGTCTATCTCGCGTGTGAGAGCCCGAGATCGAGAGCCTCAATCATAGTCGCGCGCATCGATCATTGCAATGGCGTTTTTGTATTTCTATATGTTGTTGTTGTCGGTCTTTTCGAGACGATTATAACTGTCATCGGGTGGTGGGTGGGGGGCGTGTGTGTGCGATACCGCGTTTACAATACGCCGCCTTCGCCGCTGCATTTTAATGTATACCATTTATATATACATTATCCCGCTGTTTCTACTACCACTACCACAGTTGTACCACCTCCACCAACCCTATACCACCACCGCCACCACCGTAGCATACTGCCGCCCCTGATCCAGCAACCCCTACTCGGCACTGTTGCTGCTGCGTATTGTATCCGTCTCACAAACGTACAGCAGAAACGAACAATCAATTTCGCGTTTATAGCTTTAATATTAAGAGTGAATTGACCAGTTATCAAACTCTCACTTATAAAAGTAAAAACATCATCTATGTTTGTACGGCCCTTATTTTTTTATATAACATATAAATTATTAACTGAGTTATAACTTAAGTAAGTATGAGTATGAGTATGTAAATGTAAAATATTGCAATTTAAAAATGCTCGTAACTCGTTTTAAAGTCAAATTACCTCAAAAAGCTGACTTACACGGATCAAAATTATTATATTCTTACCTTTGGGTTTGATTATTTTTTTCGTATGGCATTTTGAGCAACATGCTTCATACAAAAAAGGAAATATTCGCTTCCATATAGTTTGCCCCGGAAAACGTCATAGTCAATAATAGTCGGCTGGAAAATTTTAAGACATTCGGCTGCTGTACTATTCTTATAACCTCACTGCAGGAATCATGAGAAACACCAATTTTACGATCCACTGCAATACCTACTAAAGATTGACAAAAAAATTGTTCTGCCAAAGGAAAATTCGCAATGTTGAACGTTTGCAAGATGGGGAGAACACAACACGTCATGCGGCGATGTATCCTCTTATTAAGTCGTATTTTTACGTATAATGTAATAATATCACACCTATGTCTCATATGCACGTTTTGTTTAATATTATATATTTTACCACCCCCCCCCCCAGATTACACGGCCAGACAATATTGTTTATAATTGAAGAGGCGTTCGAACGATAGGAGTGTCTTGGGGTTGATTGTTTTGGGTTTTGTTTTATTATTATTATTAATATTCTTTCGCCCTACCCTCTTGTCTCTGAATCATTACGTATAAGCGTTCCGACTAATTAATAATCATATAATATATTATGTGTGTGCAAGCGGATCCGTGACGCGTGTGATGGATGTATAATATGCTTCTAAATGAAAATTGTTGTGCTCCGCTGTTTGTATTTTCATTTTTCTCCCACCTGATTGTAAATAATTACTATAATATATTATAACGGCTAAGGCCCCGTTATTATGTCATGAAGTCGCGGCTGATGAGTTTGGATAATGAAAATATTATGTCAAATCATAATAATGTTATGATAGAATATTATGTCAATATATATTCTACCTAATGCATGCATTTTATAAAAACGACTTCAGTGTTCTCGAGAAAAGTATTTTGTTTTTATGAGTGCGTTCTCGGTAATAATTATTTTTATATTTCAAAGCGAATGTGATAAATTTGTAGACAGTTGATAGTGGTTAAATGCAGTATGACATTAAAAACATCGGTGAAGTCGTTGAATTTAATTTTTTTATTTTAAACATTTTGTTCTCAAATATGTATGGTAATGATAACAATAATAATAAATAACTATACCTAATTATTATTTAAATTTAGTATTGTTACTTTATTTTTATATATAACCAAATCATAAAAGGAATTTAAAACAATTTACAGTATAAATACATTTTTATTAGTTTAGTGTCTGCTTTATTAAAATACAAATATAAAATTGTTTTTTCTAAAAGTAAAATAATAAACACAAAGCGTACTATATAAAGAAGCCATCGTAAATCGATATTTTCGGTAAATTACAAAACGTGAACGAGTTCGTATTTGGGGGATAAATCCGACCACGGGATTGTATATTTTGATATAAAAAAAGGTCACAGGAATAAATAAGTAAACCTTAGGGTTTCAAATATATATACGCGCAAAGGTTGAGAATACCGTCAAATATTTTTTATAGAAATTTAAAATAAGGAAAATATCGAAGAAAACATTTTTATAATTCAGAGTTTCTTTACCTCGGTAGGTAGGTACTAAAAACTTAATTAATTAAAAAATATGTTTTTAAATAAAACTTTTTGCCACAAATTTCTTTATCAAATTCCAGTATAAAATTGTATGCAGATACTATAAATTATAATATCGCTATAATATATTATGTATATGTACCATTATTTACGAAAACAAAATATATATACGGAACTCCTTGAACAACAACTATACAACAACAACTACAGCCGTCGTTATATATAGTAATAAACTACCATAACAAGCTTACATTAATTCGACGTAGATATTTTGTCGGTCCCTTATTTTTCTGAAGTAAATATAACAATACCTAAGCATAAATACTTTGTAAAATTTGCAATTTAAATTTTAAACATACCAGGAATATTATACTTATCTCCATATACTGCTTTAAAAACCTTTCACGTTGACGTCGTTGTGGCATGTCATATTAAAAAGTGCCTAATTCAAGAATATCGCAAAAAATATAAATAAAAAAGATAAAATCGTCCATACTTCGGATATTTAAAGCAAATCACATTCCTCATATTATACATTAACATTATCATGCAGAGATAAGGCATCATCGTTGACATGTCTCTAAATCCCTAAGCCTAAAATATAAGTAATTTTTTCTCTTACTGAAACGGATAATAATTACGAAATCAGTCAAACTAATTATTTATTCGTTATGTTTCGCTCGATTAATGTTTATAAAAACTGATTTAAATACATTTATTTTATGGACTTAATCACATATTATATTATTATATATGTATATACATTGCTTTATTATTTGTACATAATATACTGAACTACGGTAATATCAACTGCACATTTAATTAAGCGGCATATGACATTATAAGTTTAATTACATGAGTATATTATTATGCGTATTTATCGTTATATAAAATATAATATACTTAGTATATTACATGCATTGACCTGATAATAGATCTAAAAATTATCAGGTCTATGATTATATGTACAATTAGTTCAAAATTAGAGATCTTACATTTTGTATAATTTAATATAGGTGTACATGTATAATACAACGGTAAACAAAAACGAATACAATTATAATATTATTGCTCTGAGTTTTATTTTTCTTATTTAATTATTCTAAAAAAATTGATTATAAAACAATATATCTATCGCCTCAGGCGTGTAATCAACAACACAAATACGTCATAAAGCAACGTCTCGGTAGAAGTAGAATAGTATGTATTTTGATGTATTGACCAATTAAAATGTAACAGATTATAATATTATATAAATTAGGTTTTCAAACTATTAATATTAAAATAATATTATTCTGTCAATATAGTATTATATGCCATTTTATAATGCCGAGTAGTCTTTATGTAGGTACGCATCATTACTTAAGACTTGCTATATAATACCTATATTGTATATATTTTATACCAAGGATAAGTAAATAACTTTAACTACCTAGCAATTAACTGGATTGTGTTAAGTTGATTCAAAAATCAACACAGTAACCATTAGACGTCAAGTTAAAGGTAATAATTAATTATTAATAACTTTTGTCCAATAAATTATCCATAATAATATATAATAACAACTCGGACTCAATTGTTTTTATAAAAATAGTTGTAACTGTACGAGTACAGGATCTGTATTACGGATTGTTATTTAAAATTGTTCGTTATACTTAAAAAGTTTAAACCTTATCTACGCCAGAGGTCAAGTGGCTGCATAGGTTCACTATAGAAATAAAACCAACGAAAAAAGACATAATATTTATTATATGTAATTTGTTTGGAATTTTTAAAATACAAATAATAAAATATAGATACATAAGTACTCGTTTCTGTGTATATTTATATGAGTAATTACTATGGATGATAATATTGTGTAAGCCACTGTAGATAGTCACCATGTGTATTGGATTTTATCAAAAATTATCTTATCTTATTAAACTATTGATATTTTTAATGGCTCACAGAAAGTGCAGCGGTCTTCACACCTAACATGTGTTGTCCCGACTTATATACGGAGGATACAGCAATACAATATTATAGGCCAAAATATGGGTGGTTTTTGAGTGGTCATCCCCCCCCCCCGATTGTCCGGTGAAAATGAAACAACCTGGCCTACCTATATAGCTTATTATTTATTTCAACTAGGTACGCAGTGACTGTATATATTGCATATTATGTATACCTATAAGCACTATAAAAAA